TAATAGTACATATCCTTCAGGAGCACTCTATAAGTAACACTTCCGATCCATCAGGAATATATTTTGAGCTGTCTACCACCCATCCCATCTTCTACAATGATTTCCAGAGTCTTGAGTGGAGGAGTGTGATCAAGATAGCTTAATACAGGAAACAATTGTAGGTTTAAAGAGAAATCTGGCATGAGGGAAATGTCCAGAGATCCACAAGGATGACCCCAACAAAGAATCTAAGCAATAGTGGAAAGGCTACCATAATGCCCTTCTCCTATAATGAGATTGATGACTAACTTAAATACCATCCTAGAGACTTCATCCAGTAGCTGTTGGAAGCAGAAGCAGACACCCACAGCCAAGCACTGAGATGAACTCCTGGAATCCAGCTGTACAGGGGGAGGAGTGATGAGCAAATGCGTCAAGGTCATACTGGATAAACACAGAAACAGGTGATCTGAGAAAGTGGGAGCTCATGGACTGCAGTTGTAAAGCTGGGGATACAGCACTGGACCAAACTAAGCCTGCTGGATGTGGGCGTCAGTTAGGAGGCCTGGACAGTCTATAGGACCTCTGAGAGTGGAACAGGTATTTATCCCTAGTGCTCAAATGGATTTTGAGAGCCCATTCCCCAAGAAGGGCTAGTCTCCCAGCCTAGTACATGGTGGGGGGCTAGGCTCTGCTCCAAATGATGTGACAGACTTGGATGATCCTCCATGGGAGGCCTCAGCCACCTTGGGGTGTGGAAGAGGGGTGTGATGAGGAGATAGGGGTATGGGGGGGCTTGATGGCAGGAATGGGAGGGAGAGGGAACTGGGATTGATATTTAAAATAAGATTGTTTCTCAATTAAATTTACAAAAAGACATTCTATGTAGAGTTGAGTATTCTATGCATGGCATTCAGTTGTTGATCTCTATGTTAATTACCTTCTACTGAAAGAAGAAACATTCTGATGAGGGTTGAAGAGTGTATTTAGCTATGCATATAGAAATATATCACTAGAAATTGTTTCATTGCTATGTCCAATTAGTAGAAGCCTAGAAGGAAAATCGCTTTACTTGAGTAGTGACACAAGAGTAGTTGGCCAGCACTCATTGAACTCAGTGTTTTGTTAGGCTTTTGGTTTCTTTGTCTTGGTTTGGCTTTCATTTTATTTGTTTGTTTGATGTTGGATTTTTTTCAAAGAGAGAACAAGAAGTTGAATGGGTAAAGAGGAATGCACAGATCTCAGAGGAGTTGAGGGAGGATAAGCATGATCAATATATGTTGTATGAGAATTAAAAAGTAAAGTAAAACTAAAATAAATATGTTTCATTTTGGAATTTCATAACTGCTTTTAATAAAGTATGATCTTTGTTCCTTTTTCATGAAGGTATTTTTTGAAACAGAAAATGGTATTTTATTTGGTTTCTGAACTTTTAGAGAATTAAAACAAAGTGCTTAATAAGATGAATTTTCCCCTTAATTTGGTGAAGGATTATTATCTTTCATTCATGAGGTACTTTATGATAAGAGGTGAATCAAACATTTTAGAAAATAAGATCTTAGAAAGGATAGATAACTTGAACAGGCTGAAGTGATAAATAGTTTTCCATCATTATTCCTCACATACAAAGAAGAAAATAATGCTGGAGAAAGGGTAGTATAGTTGGGTCTTCTGGGAAACAGAAAACTCGTGGTTAATAGTACATATTCAGTATGAGATAGTAAGACCCACATAGTATGTCTTCTTTCACTTTTCCATCAAACTTCAGCTCATATTTTGAATTTCAAATCATCCTACTCTACTTTTATACCTTAGTAACTGTTAGCAGTGACTACTAACCAATTCACTACAGTACCATACATAACATGATACTTTATATTCCAAGAAAAAAATCCATTCTCTTTTGAAACATTACAAGTCACAATGTAACTCGACTTTCCTGGCTATAAAGAAGTATAATGTGCTGACCTTTAGAGGTAAAGCAGGACACAGTTTCATCACACAAGCTAATCATATTATTTTAATAATTTATTGTCTACCTTCTGAGGATCATCCAATGCCTTATCAAAAGCACACTTACTTTTATATTTAGTATATGACATGTTTGCCTTGAGGTTGTGGTGTCTCTGACTCTTCAGTTATATAATAACTACAGATAATAATAAGGGCCCTTTCAAACTATGGTGAGTAGGTATAGTCCCTATATCTAATATGGACTTGCAGAGATTATATGTGACACTGATTTACTCTTCAAACTTTATTAGCATATATTGTAGCTCTTCCTTTTATAGATAGTCCTAATAAAAATTAATGTCAGGAAGTACAGTTGGAAACAACAAAGTACATTATTAAACTCCTTGAAAAGATGATTCATTTGCAATTTCCAGTTTATTTTTCATTCAGGTTAGCTATTCTTCCTAAATTCCTGTTTTCTAAATTGATATATTCATCTTTTATAATAAAGTACTCATTAATTTAAGTGTTTTGTTTTTAAATCTGTACAAATTATTCCATTATTGATCCTTTTAGGCTCATTTATGATAATACAAGTTTTATAATATGGCATACACTTATAAAGAGAATTAGTAATGCTACCAACATTCATCACAGTAAAAAAGAACCAGGTCTTAGGATCTTCAAATATTAATCATGACATTATTCTTATCATATCTTTTCAGTTGATGGGCTTGACCCAGGGTTCTTTGTGTCCTTCCACTAATGGTGTAGTTCTGAAGCAAAAGATGTTCTGAAGCTACTGAGGCTACATTAACTCTGAATAAAAAAATTAGTGAATAAAAGCAATATAATGTGTAAAAGTAAAATACTCAGGTTAGTGGCAGTTCCAAAGCAGCTACCAAGACAATTATCCAAAATGTTGTTAGCCAACGTGATAGAGACATTAACATACATTTGCATTCTTGGTGCCCAATATATTACCGAAGATTTATGTTAAAATTGAAATTCCATCTTATTATGAAGGGAAATGTAAATAAAGTATACTAAAAAGATTATTATGTATAAATTATAGTGCCTTATATAATCCTCTAATACATTTTTATTTAAATTAGAAACAAGCTTGCTTTACATGTCAATCACAGCTCCCTCTTCCTCCCCTCCTCCCGTGCCAAACAACAACCCCCCAACCCCTCCAACCAATCCCTACTCTGTTCTCTGCAGGGCCTAGGCCCTCACCGATGTGCCCAAGATGAGAGAGCATCCCTCCATGTGGATTGCGCCCCCAAAGTCCATTCTCATGCCAGGGATAAATACTGTTCTACTCCCTGAGGCCCCATAGATTGCCAAGGCCTATTCACTGACACCCAAATTCAGGGAGTCAGGATGAGTTTCATAGTGCTGTGTCAGTCATCAGTCTGTGGTTCATGAGCTCCCCTTTGTTCAGGTCAGTTGTTTCTGTGGGTTTCACCAGCCTGGTCTTGACCCCTTTGTTCATCACTCCTCCGTCTCTGCAACTGGGTTCCAGGATTTCAGTTCAGTGTTTAGCTGTGGGTGTCTGCCTTTGCTTCTATCAGTCACTGGATGAAGGGTCTAGGATGGTATACAAAGTAGTTGTCAATCTCATTACTGGGGAAGGTCTTTTAAGGTAAACTCTCCACTACTGCTTAGATTGACAGTTTGGGTCATCCTTGTAGAACTCTGGAAATCTCAATAGTTCCAGATATCTCCTCAAACCTATAATGACTCCTTCTATTAGGTGTATCTCATCCAGCTCTCTATTCTTCCACTGACTCAAACTTTCTACTCCTGCCTGTCCTCCTTCCCTCTCCTTTCTCCCTCTCTCTTTCTTCCTGCTCCCTCTCCCCTCACCCCATGCTGGCAATCCTCTCAGGAGAGCCTGTCCCATTCTCCTTCTCTGGTGTATCATACAAATCCCTCCCTTTTTCCAGACTCTGTGGCAGTGAAATTGTAGGCTGGCATTCCCCTGTTCCAAGTCTAAAATCCATATATGAGTGAGTAAATACCATGTTTGTGTTTTGTGTCTGGATTCCCTCACTCAGGATGATTTCTTCTAGTGTCATCAATTTGCCTGCAAATTTCAAGATTCCATTGTTTTTTCTGATGTGTAATACTCAATTGTGTAAATATACTCCACTTTCTCTATCCACTCTTCAATTGAGGAGCATCTAGGTTGCTTCCAGGTTCTGGCTATTACAAATAGTGCTGTTATAAAACTAGTGAAACAGATGTCCTTGTTGTATGAATGGGCATCTTTTGGGTATATGCCTAAGAGTGGAATTGCTGGATCTTGTGGTAGACCGATTCCCAATTTCTTGAGAAATTGTGATACTGATTTCCAAAGTAGCTCTACGAGTTGGCACTCCTACCAGCAGTGGAGTAGTGCTCCCCTTTCTCCACATCTTCTCTAGCATAAACTGTCCTTGATGTTTTTGATTTTAGTCATTCAGACAGGAGTAAGATTGTATCTTAGAGTTGTTCTGATTTTTATTTCCCTCATGACTAAGGATTTTGGGCTCTTTCTTAAGTGTCTGTCAGCCATTTTAGACTCCTCTATTGAGAATTCTGTACTTAGATCAGTACCCCCAATTTTTAATAGGGTTATTTGGTGTTTTGGAGACTTGTTTCTTGAATTTTTAAATAAATTTTGGAGATCAGCCCTCTGTCAGATGTGGGGTTAGTGAATATCTTTTCCCACTCTATGGGCTGCGGTTTTGTCCTGTTGACTGTGTCCTTTGTCTTACAGAAGCTTCTCAGTCCCATTTATTAATTGTCAATCTTAGTGTTTATGCTTCTGGTGTTATGTTCATGAAGCAGTCTCCTGTACCAATTCATTCAAGGATACTCCCACTTTCTTTTCTAAGAGGTTCAGTGTGGCTGGATTAATGTTGAGGTCTTTGATCCCTTTGGACTTATGTTTTGTGTATGGCGATAGACATAGATTTATCTGCAGTCTTCTACATGCCAGTATCCAGTTATTCCAGCACCATTTGCTGAAAATGCTTTCTTTTTCCAATGTATAATTTTAGCTTCTTTGTCAAAAATAAAAAAATATGGAACAGTCCACGAATTTGAATGTCATTCTTTCTCAGGGGCTGTGCTATTCTTCCCTGTATAGTTCCAATTTTATTATATGTTCTGCTGAAGTGTGCACACTCAAATACATTTTAATGTAGAAAAATGCTGACAGCAAAATATAGATCCTTAACAATCTATATGTAAATGTATATGAATTAAAATCCTAAATAAAATCTTCATTGTAACTCAATCTATTGTTAAAATTACATGTGTTTTAAAAAAGCTTTTCCATTTTCCCAGCAACTTGAACTAAACAAGAAAAAAAATCTGACAAAATTTGATAGGGTAAGTCAATGTTAAAACTACTTTTATATAACATAAAAGTAAAATTTTCAGCAATTTATTTGATAATGCCTATCATAAGAGATGTTCTGCAAGGATATTATGAATCATTGGCTATGTTACTAATTATATAGGAAATAAACTGTTAAGTCATCAAACGAGCAGTTGTCAGATGATGAGTGATTAAAATTAACATACAGTATTTTCAAAGTACAAGCGTTTGAAGTATAAAGGATTATAAAATGTAACAGAATCAGTATGAAATACTAAGAAAAATGTCTTAAACCTCAAAGTTTATTGCACCACACAGTCAAGATATAATTAAAGGAAGTTCTTGCTAAAGCATGACTAATTACAAATTTCAAGCAATTTATAAATCAAGTGATAAATATAGATACCCATTACCTCAAGCATATATAAATCACGCATCATTTGATTTTTTACATGGCACTACTTAAACTAATCTCTAAGGGACTGTCTAAGATGCATGAATAAACCCATACAAAGTTCTTTCAACTGAGAAATCATGGGAAGTATGAGCACTCTTGTACATTTACACCCCAAGCAATATTAAACTTTAACATAGTATTTAAGTGACTAAGTGCCATTTTTAGGGCCTGACACTTTTCAACCGCAAAGTTTGGGTACTATTTTGGTTTGTCTGTGTGTGGTGGTGGTATGTGTGCACTATATAATATTGGTGTGTGCATGTGACATGTCCCTATGCACACACATTTCTAGATCAAAGGAAGTTATTGGATGTCTTTCTCTACTACTCCCAACATTGTTGCTTTGAGATCAGGCTTCTCACTGTATTGGAAGCTATCCACTGTGTTTATGTAGGCTGGTCAGCAAACTTCAGCTACCATTTCCACCTCCCAATACAAAGATAATAGTCACTCAGCCATGCCCAGCCTTTAAAGTAGATGCTGGGGATCTGAACTCAGGTTCTCGGGTGTGTAAAATCAGCACTATTAGTCACTGAGCCATTTTCTCAGAACCTTGCTTTGATTTTCAACATTAGCAGCTTTATTTTCAAAGGGTGGTCAGAGACAGGGTTCCTCTGTGAAACAGTGCTGGCTGTCCTGAAACTCACTCTGTAGCTCAAGGTTGGCCTCTAACTCACAGAGATCTTCCTGCCTCTGCCTCCTGAGTGTTCGGATTAAAGGCATATGCTACCACAGCCTTGTTAGCTTTCTTTTTTTAATGAACTGAAATTTCCAAGTCTGACAAAAAGGACTATTTATAGATGCTTAAGGATATCAATGAGGAGTAGCTTCATTCTTTCATCTGTTTCTGCCAACACCACTGCAAATAATTATATGCTCAACAAACATGAAACAAAGTCTGATGATATTGCTAAGCCTCATTTATGTTCTTGTTTTAACAGGGTATTTCTTCAGTACTTTCAAAGAGTAATAAATTCTGAGGAAAAATACTGCAATTGATAGAAAAGGTGAAAAGTGATTTTTGCTTTGTATGGTGTGATAAATTTTGGTGTATTTGATGAGTTTCGAAAAGGGTATATAGGATAGGGGAAATGCTACAAAAAATCATCCTTGCAATCATGAGGAATATAGCATGCTTGAGAGAAGGAAGAATTGTGGGGAGCGGAGGAAGCTATGAGTTAATGACTAAGGAGCAGATGAAGTCCTGAGTGAATGTGTATTGTTTTTGGTTTTGTTTTTCATGACAGGGTTTCTCTCTGTAGTTTTGGAAACTGTCCTGGAATTTGCTTTGTAGACAAGACTGGACTCAAACTGACAAAAATATGCTTGACTCTGCCTCCCCAATGCTGGGATGTCGCACCTGCTGTGCGGCCTGCATCCGAGAATGTAGCGAGGTGGTCGGGATAGATGACACCGAGACCGGTCAGTTGCTTTAAGAAAACTTTATGCTTCCCAAGTCAGCTTAGGAGGAGATTCCAAGTCCGCTTAGGAGAGAGAAGTCTCAGGAGAAGTCTCTCCAAGAAAAAAGAGCTTCCCTTTTCAAGGACTTTTGTCATCCATCTACATACAATTCTTTCCAGACTTCTCACCCTCCTGGCTGGTGGTTTTATCTCCGGCCCCAGAATCAGGGAGACACAGCAGGGGAACAGGAAGAGGCATCTAGCCGTAGGGGATGTGAAAGTCATGGTATCTCAGTGAGTGAGCCCTTATCTGAGCCCTATCAAGAGCTTTATAGCACTGAATTGTTTTCAGTAAACATTACACAGCTGCCTGCTCCCAGGCTGAAGGGTAAGTGGGTTTCTTCTCAAGGTCTGGTGTCCCCACACTGGGATTACAGGCACGTGCCACCATTGCCTGGTGTGAATGTGTATTGCTGACATGAGAATGACCATGCTAAGCATCCAATACATCAGACCCATGAGGATAGCAAAGCCTCCCCTGAATCAGAATATGAGTATTTATGAGTGACTGACTAGTTACTAGTGTACCTAGAAAGTATAATAAACCACAGTTTCCTGCTCCCAGATGACTACAAACAGAAACTGCTACCTATAAAGATCTCCTACTGAGATTAGCTGAACTTGCCTTGTTATTCAGCAGTAAGCAAGAGATAAACCTATCTCATTTCAGATGCATAAAGTAAACATGTTCAGGCCACAGAATCAACTAAGCAGGACTTATAGAGGCTCAGAGAGTGAGATGGCAATTGAGTTGTCTAAATGGGTCTGCACTGGGTACTCTGCTGTAAATGGAGTCCTTTATTGATCTAGATAATAAAAGGCTGGAGTCAGATATAGATGGAAATGCCGAGAAATCAGAGAGGAGAAAGTCACAGCACACCTTACCTCCTAAGTGTGTCCACAGAGAATAATAGAGAAATTTCCTGTTTGTCCCTGGTTAAATACTGTTACTGCCCAGCTATGTCTATACCTGCCTCTCTGTAAAGACCTCCAAGCCTCTATGGTAAGCTAGTGTCAAGCTCCATTCTCTTATCCACAGACAGGCTTTATTTGTGTAAGAAAGATATAACCACTTGTCCCTCTTTTTTGTCTAAAATACATGTATAACCAATATGAGAAAAGCTATGCGCAAGAAGAAAAATAACTATGTATAATATATACATGTCAATAAATACAATGTCTAGTCCAAAAGCATATTACAAATGCCTAGAATATACTCTATCATCTATTCTTTCCTGATGAGTCCAAAATCTAATTTACTTTCTATTCTAATATGCATGTCGATTATCTTTTATTGTCTTTACAGCCCATTACACTTAATATATCTATAGTGAGTTTCTTTACTGATTCTGGTAAACAGGGAAAACTATACCCATACTATTTAGTCTTCAACTCCCTCAGATACCCAAGAAGGAAATAATATTAACTGAGTAAACAGGAAGTGCGAGCAAATGACTTCCAAAGAATGAGAGAAATGACAGAAATAGCAGTCTGCCTAAACAGTCACCCAAGATTGCTCTGCAACACTGGGGCATCCATCTTTAGCCAATATGCCTAGCACATCTCACAGACATTCTGTGAACCAGGATAACCTGAAGGATTGAACCACCTTGTCCTGGTAAGGTTTGCAGTCACTCTTTTTTTTGTGTCTTGTATGTCCAATTTGGACAGCAAACTGCCAGCAGTCAAGGTAAGGGCACTTTCTTGCCAAGTGTCTTTCCTTTACCACAAATAATTCAAACTCCATGTGAACTTTCTTCAATGCCCATCATCTTCTCTTATGTAGATTGGTGCTGCCAGGAGCACACATATTTCATTGTCATAGCATAATAACCAGTTATTAAAACATGTTAAATGCCATATTCTGTAGATATCAGAAGTGTTTGAAGATGACATGTCTTTCTAATATATCAGTTTGATGTTGAAAACCTACCTAAAGTGACTACACGTTTGATTGTAGTGGTTGACTCATTAGTAAATTACACTTTCCTAATTGTCTTATATAGTTGATAACAATAACTTTCAAGGACTAGAACTTTGTATTGCATAGTCAAATGAGTTGTATAAATACAAAACCTAGAATATTGGAAACACAGAAAAATTAATCTCAAGTTTGTATCAATATACAACATTTGTATACAATATACAGATGTCTAGTCCAATGTAAAGTGTTTAAGGCAAGTAGTTGCTTTTTAAGAGTAGATTCAATAATCTACTTTTTCATCTCAGCATCTCTATATCCTTCCTTATTCTTTTCAGTGTAGATTCTGTAATCTACCCTTTATATCCTACAATATCTGGATTCCTTTCTATTTTTATCAAAACCAAACCTTGAATAAAATCCTTTTTGTTCAACTTTCTTCCTGATCATAAGCAACAACATTTTGTAACCAATCTCCCTAAACAACAACAAATATCCTTAACCCAAAGAGTAACCAAAAACCACAAACCCCATCTTTTGGGAATGTGGGCATTGTGTTCTTAAAGTTACTTCACACTGTCTGTGGGCAACAATATCGTTAGGGGATACTGAAAAGAAAATTTTGGTTAATTGTCAAACTGTATCATTTGTTGTCCAGTCTCTGTATAATGGGCAAATACAAAGCTTGTTTAAAGGAATCTGTGTGGCTGAATCACCTTAGCTAGCCACGTCAAAACTGTTCCAAGTAGTGTCTGTGAGACTGCATCATCTCAAAAAGTCACCTCAAAATTGTTATGAGCAGGTTTTAGTCCAAAGCTGACCTTTAGTTTGTGTTGTTCAGCATAATGGTGTTGTGATAGTCTTAGTGAGGCCCCATCCTGCTTATATACTGTTACTTCCCAGCTACATCACTTCCTGCCAGTCTGTATAGACTTCTAGACTTCTATTGTTAGCTAGTGGCAGT